TAATAATATAATATAAAAATAAGTATTATAGATTATTCGATTAGATTTCTGAGAAAGCTAAAACGACAATATTTATTTAGATATAAAATCAGAGTAAATACATATTTAGAAATAAAAGATCTTTATTTAGAAATTTTTTGCTTTATATCAAATTTTGAAGAACTGACAAGAAAATGTTTATTTGATCTTTCTGATGCAATATAGAAATTTTATTCCTCTCTCTCATCTTTTTTATTTTATTAATTTTCAATAGATGATTATGTGTTGCTTGTATCTATTAGCTATCTTTTTATATGATAATGCTAACCTAAATAATTTTGAATTTTTAGTCACTGAAGAATTGAACTGTATTTAACATATTTAGTTGTTAGTTTAATTGTTACATTTCAGCATTTTACTTGTTGAAGTAAACAGAAAAAGATAATTGTATGAAGATATCACATATATTTATATTTTATAGAAAAACAAAATGTTATTGAATTTAATAATTACTTACCATACGATCCTCAAAACTTTTGACTATAATTCCCTCTGGTAAAGAAGTCTTAAATAGTTCAATCTGTTTTGTAAATAAAATAATTGAAATTTAGCAATAAAATATTTTTATTTATAAAAAATGAATAAAACAAATAACATCAACTCACAGCCCGNGTTCTTTTATTTTGTCAATGTGCTGGGGAATTTGTACAAAATTGGTCAAATAATATCATGGTATTTAAAACAAAAATTTGAGTAGGATCCTTTTATATTTAATCTGGGCCTCCTGCCCCTTTAATTATCCTAATGTTAATGAATACAGCAAGAATTAATAATTTATTTATTTAAAGTAATAAATTTTAAGTAAAAATAAACTATTTTTTATTAAATAAAATTTCAACGAATTTCTTTTTATGATTTCGGAAAAAGCATATTTATGACCAGGTATTTATAGTTAACGTTTAATAAACTCATACTTAGTTGAAGTCTTTTCAGATACATAATTTGAAATTTTATATGAAAATAGAAATACAGTAGGACCTGGTTAAATATTTGTTCTGTGTCCATTACTGCTTTTTTTCATCAATGCTTTCACTTGGCAATGTTAATTTAAACCATACAAAAGCAGACTATTTGAAATAAGTGCGGTAATTTATTAACAGCATGTAAGAGATGTATAAAAGAGATACAAAATTAAATAATGTGATTTTACAATGATTGATTTATTATACTTTCCTTAGAGACATTGCGAACATTTTCTAGATATAACTAAATGAAGTATTGGACTCTTTTGGATTCTGGGTCATCGGTTAGGTTAGTCTCATCATAATGCCAATGTTTTCACTCCGACATTTCTTTTAAGTGTCTACAAAATCTGTTTCGTTAGTTATTGATGCCCAAGCTTTTTTTGTTTGCCATAAAACAATGTTAGTTGTGGTTTTCTTATTAAAAACCTCTCTATCATTTTATTCCTGGTCGATTATTTACAAACTTTCACTATTCTCCCAGTCCTGCCCAAATAAGCATGAATGATGGATGCAGTGTAGTTTAGACTCATCCACAGAGAATTAAAAGTCACTCGTGGAACAGTATAATCATAAAACATGTTCTTGCTCCACCTCTGTGCTGGTGATACAAGTAAGTAACCCCAACATAACTGAAATGTTTACGTGCATTTGCATTTACTTGAACTGTAGATTTCAGGCATAAAATATAGTAAGAAATTATTTACTTATAAGGTGTCAACATAATTAGAAATGAAATAAATGTACTGGTACATACATTTATTATAACTTTGAGGCTTTGGAATAGACACAAAAGTCGAAATACCGATATTTTGAACTTTTTCATTCTAAAGTTCAATCAAGAGTCAAGCCAGTGTAAAGAATTGTGGGATGCCCAATTCAATTATGAAATGTGCTATAATATGCTCTCTGAGATAAAATAATAAATGTATTCAAATGATTCATATATTACTTGACACAGCCAGTAAAAATAATTTGCAAAGTAGTGCAAATTATCCCCTGTGGGAGCAAAGTATCTCCACTTTACAGTAGAGATGAATTGCTCCAAATTAATCTGAATTTTTTTGTAAAACCAATAGGGTACAAATAAAAGATTTTAGAGAATAACAAAATACAAATAAAGTGAATTAAAGTTTATTCATGGTTTGGCATGTTCAGCATGAGATTGAACATTCTTACACTGTGGACAGCTGGAAAAGTGGTTAAGGTATCAGATTGCTGCTCTGGGGACCCACGATTGAATGTGGCAAGTTGAAAACCCCCAGAAATTTTTTGGATGGTTTGTCACCTTCCAGTTGTCCCATTGTGGACCTGGCCGACCCACAACGGGCTTATGTCTCTTAGGGCCTGGAGAGCAGCTTTTAAAATAAATATATCTAAGACATTTCGAGAGAACTAGATATCGAAAACATTGCTATGCAACATGATTACACCTCATGAATTGTTTGGCATTTAGTAAACAAACAAGTTCAATGCCAACACTTCTGGGCACACTGACATATTCGAAGATAGACATCATGAGAGTAATAAACTTCAATCCATAGTTAATAATCCAAAGGTATACATCAGGAGATAGTCAAAATAGACAAGACCAGAATATGTTATGGGAGAAATCCTACCATGTAAATTACAAACAGTTAAGGAATGACAGACTTTCAACACACACTCAGAACTCCCTTTTGAGGTCACCATTTTGGAACACAGAGTGCATAGGAGACACTCATGTTTTTTGAGCACAATATTAGAGTACCACTGGTCTGTTCAAAAGGGATCCCCAAGGTACAAATTTGTATGGAAGATAAACAAAAATTAAACAAAAAGAAATGTTATTTATGTCTGTTTTAAGTTAATATAATTAAAATTTTAAATAAATCATTTTTGCCGCATTAATATGGTACCGAGTGTTATGTATATTTTTATCAAATTTGTTCATTGTGTCTTTAATTTATAGTATTAAAATGTTGTATTGAAAATGCATTCTAGAAATTTATAACCTGTACTAGATGTAATAATCATGATTAATTTATAATTACTCAGGAAAATTTTTATTTAAGTTATAAACAAAGGAATGCATTTTAACACTCTTATTTATAATCCTGTAGTTTTTTTTATTGGAAAATAGAATAATAATTTTTTAAAATTAATTTTACAGGCATTATAGTTAAAGCATAAATAAAAATAATTTACTCGAATTTCACAATACATACAGAATAGATTTTCAATCTAAAAATATCTAACTGCAATTTTCAACATATTACAGAACAAACTTTATATACGATTATTAACAGTCTACCCACCCGCTTTTTTCCAAGAATATAAAATTGCTATAAAGATATAGTATTTTGCATATTTCATAACAATCTGTCAAGAATGAGTGGGACATAAAACAGAATGATTTAAGAAATAATGATAAATCAATGTAAATTATCAAATATATATTCTGTAAGTGTTTAAAATCAAGAATGTAGTTTCATCTATTACATAAGGGAGGGACAAAGATTAATTGATTTGAATGAAATATGTGAGAAGATATTCCGAGGAAATTTCAACAACTATCCATGTAGAATTATGTTGTTCATATATATTTTATGTACATTCATTTTGAAGATTGTACAACATTAATTTTTTTTATAAACAAGAATCTACATATTGAAAAACAGTTCACAAAAATTTTACTTAAAAAAAGTTTAAACATATATTTTTATACACATTTTATTTCTCCAACTGATGAAATTTTGAGTGCAAAAGTGAAGATCTATAATAAATTTTAGACCGATAAATACAGTTGGTAATCATCAATGTAAGAAATAAAACTTTTATGTGAACTAACTAAGTTTGATTCCTGCAGAAGACAGTATTTCTTTAAAACTTGACAAGGATTTTTTAAGTGTGAGACAAAATCCTTTTGATGCAGGAATTAATGGAAACTCTGGAAGATTCACTTGAGTGTTTTGGAAAGCTGCAAAAAGAAATCAAAATTTTAATTTGTTTTAATTAAAAGTATTATTAATATCCTAAATTAACTAGTCAAAACAAACTAGCAGCAGTTAAACTAAATAGATTTAATCAGTCAAGTTTCTATATAATTATTTTAGGTATAAAATGATATTTAAGTGTTTTATATAATAACAAAAAATTTTGAATTATAACAAATTTAAAAACTGGCTCCATCACTTCCTTGAATTTAAGAATTCAGTAACTTTAAAAATATTCCATTTTGATGAAATAATTCCACAAATAAACATCAATTCACAACACTTCACAATTCACATATTTTCTTTGGAAATGACTATACCTCACTTCTACTAGATAGTAACTAACTTAAATGCATTGAACTGGAGTAGTCAGGTACAATGATTTTGTCTATATCCTGTATGTAGAGTTTATAGGTGGAAAGAAATTCCTGCCTGTTCTTGGAAATTTTTTCATTTTCCTGTTCCCAAATCCCAAGAAAAGTTGGTCAGAAAAGCAAGAAAATCGATTCCTACAACCTAGTAATACCCACAATGGAAAATCAACATACTGCTCGCAATGTATCTTTTAGATATTTTTCCTATTTATCACTATGTAAACTTACATTGTGATAAATCACTTGTAAACCAGAATCAGATAACACATGACCAGTTAATTTTAGCTCTTGTAAATCAAGCACATTTGATCATGGAGAACAGAAAACAGCTTGTATTTACACAGAAAAATATTTATTTTCATAATCCAGGATTTGACTACAAAGTCATCTTCAATAAACTTACTAAACAAATCTAAGGCAGCTTACTTTAATATAACATTGTAGTCAAATCCTGGGTTGTGAAAATAAATATTTCTCCATGTGAACACAAACTGTTCTGTTCTCCACGATGAATTGTTTCCAGAAAGTGATTGCCAATACTACCAACCACATTCAATCAGTTTGTTTGTGACTGACAATTGTGACGAGCAATAAAATCATTATTTCAAAACTCAAATGTTTTTACTTTTTGTAAATTATGAAATGTAGTCAAATATCCAGTAACTTTCTGTAAATGTTCTGTTGAAAGATTTAGAGCCAGATAAAAAAAAAAAAAAAGAGACTTAGAATTATCCAGATTCAAATTAGCCAAACTTTGATTAAAAATAAAAAGTTTTTTGTAATTTTCAAATAAAATTATGCCATTATCTTATATAATTTCACCATTCATTTACAAATGCATTAATACTAAGAGTTAGTAATTTAAACTACTTCATTAAAAAAACTCTCAGTTGGCATTTACTTAATGAAAACATAACCAAATTACATTCAAAGCAAGATCTGAAAATAATACATCAAAGAAGCTTAGCCATTATTACAGATCATCAATGAAAATTAAATATAAAAGATTATTTCAGGAATTCTCGAAAATACAATTTCCTGTTCTCGATTTCAAAATGTTGAGAATTTGGAAACCCTACCTGTATGTATATATAGTTCTATTTCTTGACTATTTATTAAAAAAATAATATTGTTTTTTACAAATATGATCTTTTTGATTTTTCAGATAATGTTTTAAAACCAAAATTATGTTTTTTCCTCTATTTCTTT